CTGTAGTTGCTCTTTCACATGCAAGACGAGCATTAAAGGGACTCAATAGAACCATAAATGTATTGTCAAGTGCAAGTGACTTGAATGCTAGATTTCAGGTCTTCTGAAGTCATAAAATAACTGTGTGTTTGAAAGACTATAATTTAAGCTGTTATTCACTGATAATATTCTCCTCCAGTGCGTTCAGATCAATTGGCGCTTTTCATTTCTTAAATTGTGCATTCTCATTTTCTTTCCTCGTGTCCAAGCTCTTCCCAACTATGATGCGAGGAAAGGAGGCAAGGATTGAAAATGAGGATGGAGAAAAATTGAAAAAAATAAATAAAAATTGTGTATTGGGATTAGGGCTGTCGCGGTAACCGCAATATTGTAGTACCGCGCCTCTGACAAGTCAACCGCAGAGGATTGCACATAACCGCAGCAACCGCGATATTCATGTTTTAGGCTATACCCTTCTTGTTTTGAACTTAATGCATGTGCATTGAATGTTAAACAAGTTCATAATGATAAAAAGACTGTTTATCATGGTGATGTGTAGCCTACAGGCTTCACACAGACAGTGAGTGATCGCCAGAGCGCGTGCAATTACCTGTGTCTGTCTTTGAAGTCGTGTCAAAGGGAAGCGAAATATTTGTTGCATCATCATTTTAACGTTCTCTTCGCGGGTATTTTCCCATAAATGCGCGTCGGCAGCAGCGCTGGTCAGCATCCCACAGCACAAGGGAGCCGCGGGGAAATAAAATCAGTGAGTCACGCATTGAATCAATGCTATATTGGTCTCTAATACGTGAAGCATCAGCTTCAGCGTTGCCCATGCGACTTATTGCTGCTCAGCTGAGCCTTGAAAAGTTGAACCTCAAAGTTAAAAATAATTAACATCTTGTTTCTTTACATCTCTTTTAATGAATCAGCTTTTTAAACGTGTTCGTTGAATGAACGGTTCAATGACTCGCTTAAAGTCCGTTGTCATAACAATGCGCGCTGAGTGAAAGTCTTTCAATACGCATATAGGCTACTGTGTAGACGCTGTTTAGTTTCGGTTACATTGGTTACTGAAAATGTCCTCGTTTTTGTCCACATCGTAAACTTTATTTATTTAGCAACAAATACATAGAAATTAAATAAATAAATTAATGGCGGTAATAGCGCATGCGCATATCGCGCTATTGAGCCACTCAACATTACCGCAAGGGAAATTCCATAACTGCGACAGCCCTAATTGGGATATTTTTGATCATCTGCCCTAATGTTGTCAAGGTTTGGTTATTTAAGAAATTCATAATTATTAATGAAGCAATATTCCCTGTTGAAATAAGCTTAAAATGTAAAAAAAAAAAAAATATTCAAATATAGCCCTAAATTTTAATTTCCATCCATTACAAAGTTTTAACATAAACTAATAAACTTAATATTGTCAGTCATACATAAATGAAACAGGGAAAAAAATTAAAAATCATGGCATAGGCCTAGTTTATTAAAGGTACAGTAAGCATTTTCCGAGAAACGCCATTGAAAGTGGATCAATCTGGGCACCACAACACTCTTGTAGCCAATCAGCACTGCAGTAGGAGGCATATACACTCCTGATGGGGGAGGAGAGAGTGTGAGCAAGAGGGAGACTTGAAGAAAGACTGTAGAAAGAGAGGTGGCAGAGAGAAAAGGTCAGATGAATATTATTGGGAAAAAAGGGTCATGATCTGGTAAGAGCTTTAGGAAAAGCTTTCCACTCCATAATATGCTGTTGTTGTAATGTTAGCTACAGTTACAGGACACTTTTGAGTGTCATTATTTGTCTGGAGCTGTTGTGCTGCTGCCCACTAACAATCAACTCTTTTATTCTCTTCCTTGTTCTTTCATCATCTTCACTTTATTTTTCACGAAGCATTATTTTGCTTCACTTCAGCAGTGTTGGGGAGTAACTAGTTACATGTAACGGTGTTACGTAAATTAATTACAAATAAAATGGAACTGTAGTTCGATACAGTTTCTGAGAAAAACTGTGTAGTTCAATTAGTTGCTTAAGAAAATGTTTACAAAGGGGTCTTTCATCTGAATATTTTCTGTAAAAAGCTACGATATGTTGAATCATATTAATTTGTTGCTTTGCCTAATTGTGATGTGCACAATGCCTCCAGCCATTTAAAGGCCGTTTAGTAAAGAGATGCTATTCTGATTCTTTTGAATGGCTTTCTTGTTGGAATTTGCAATTCATCGCGTCTGTCAATTTAATCAATCCACATTGCCGCTGAAAGCTAGGCTATTACTTGTCTGAGAGTTACCACCATTGGTGAATGATTAAAATGCGTTCCATGTGCTTTCTGGAATTATATAAGTCTGATAGTAATCAGTGTTAAGTACTACTGTAAGGTTAACCCTGCCTGTTTGAAAACATTAGTTAGAAATTTAGAAAAGTAATCAAATGTAATGTTACCTTAATACTTTTTACATTTTAAATAGGGTAATTTATATTCTGTAACCTATTACATTTCCAAAGTAACCTTCCCAACACTGCACTTCAGCTATGATGGAGACATCCATCCTTGCATTTTGGGGGACAGAGCAATGAAGGGAGGACTTTGTTGTTGTGATTGATTTCAAATATCAACAGTGTTTCTTAGAAATTGCTTACTGCACCTTCAACCATTTGCATCTATTTGATTTTATATAAATCATATATTTCTCTTCATTGTGAAATCTTGCATTTATTAGTTTAAAAAGAATGAACACGTTTAAAATATAGCTAGCAGTGGAACAAACAATAATCAGTCAAAATGTATGTGATTTGAAGCAAAATGGGAGTATTTAAAATGCATTTATTTGTTTAGTCATATTACAGAAAGCCTACCCATTAATTTGTTTAATTTATTGTATGACAGATAAACATGCATCGCATTGAGTTTATTAGTTTGTTAAAACTAATCCAAAATGGTATGCATTGATATTTGACAATTGGTATTGACAATTGATATGCATATCTTAAAATTAGGCCTTCGTTTTAATTTATTTTCTATTTGAAATGTATGGTTTGTTTAAACTGCACAGGTAAATTAAAAAGTGACAGTTGTGAAGACACCTAAGAAACACTTCCGCATAGGATACACTTGTGTATCCTCGCTCCTGCTTTCTCATGGGGCAAGTAGATCATTTAGATGTTCTTCAAGATGGCTGACGTCGATCAATTTCCAGGTTACTGGAGAAAGGAGCAAACAAATGAGAAATCATTCTAGTTTTGATATTCACCAGTTGAGTTTGTGAGCCCGAGAACCATAGTTTTGTGAACTAGAAGATAATTTGATTCATAGAAAAGATCTAATGCGATGAATGATTCTTTTACACCTTGGATGTCACTCGTAAGTATATCAAGATACTGAACAGTTTGTTTAATTCAATTTTATTTTGTTCCTACATAAAGCTTCCATGTGACTTCAGAAGAGTTTAATTTAGTTCATTGTCAGCTGTACTTTCATTATATCAGCAAGTTTCACTTAGTTATTCTTCGTGAATTCACCATTTGTGTTCCATAGAAGAACCCTCAAACTGGTTTGGAACATCATGAGGGCGAGTAAATTAGGACCATACTTGATGTTACATTAGGTTATGATGTCGGAACAGACAAACGACTGATTATAAACTTCCTTTTCTTTCTTTTTTTTGAACCAGGTACAACAGACTAGCGAGAGAATGGACCCAGAAGTATGCAATGTGAAGACTTAATGGACATTTTTTTTTAAGTCACAAATCACTGTAAATTCTAGCATCTAAAAGTAAGATTAGGTTATATTATTAAACAAATTGTACTGTTAACATTTACCATCTGAAATGACCAATAATAATAGCTTAACTAGTATTTTGAAGGGGACTGTGCATTGCACAAATACATTAAGCTTTTTATTGGTTTTGTGCATTTGGTCATCCCCGCAGTGGTGTTGGGCACTTTTTCTTGTTTCATAAATCCTATTTAAGATTGGCATGATATTATTCAACTGCAGTTACCCTACCAGAGGGCAATTAAGAAATTGAAAACCTTTTTATTGTATCTCTCATTCAATTTTGATTCAGTTCATTCAGATTACATTTTCTTTTAGATATTTTTATTGTATAGTTAAGAGCAACTATACTGGATCTATTTTTTTCTTTTATTTCTTTTGCATTAAAATTTGTTTAAAAGCGTGCATCTGTGTTTCTGGTATGTTAATTTGTGTTTGCTCTCATTTGTACACAGTCTTTTATTTGCTGAAATACTATTTGAACTGGCCTTGAGTACATGTTACCAATCAGTTCCACAAGCAGGTCTATTTCCTCTAAATCCAATGCAGGAATGAATATTCACTCCCTGATTTCGAAATCAATCTGCCACATTGCATATCCATCCGAAAGGCAATTTTGCTTTTCAAATTTGCTAATCAAAACTTAATTCTGTTGCTTTCTAAAATATTTGCTGTATACATTAAACCCCCTAAACAATAAAAAAAATATATATTAGAGGCTAATTTATGTATCCCCATTGGTATTCACATATTTATTCATACATTTAGTTGGTGTTTTTGTAAACAGTTTCTTATATATCCATAATTACAACGTCATTCCCAGTAGGATTTCATAAATGAGGCCATCAGGGATTTACTTAATTGCACAATACTTTGAGAACACAATTTTTTTTTCCATCTCAATGTTCTTTTAGTACATTTTGTTTTATCAGCTTTCTCATTAGTCACACAATAACTGAACATCCATCGAATAAACAGACTTTTATCGCATCCGATGATTATAGTTATTTTTTGTCTACCCGGAAGTATTTACAATTATGGCTAGCCACCCATTCACCGTCATTTGCTGGGAAAATCCATGTTAGATTCCACGTTAGCCTCCAAATATTAGCATATTCCCAAAAATGTACCTAGGGTGCACCATAGGTGTGCACGTTTAACGAAAAATAAATAAGAGAAAAAAGAGCTCGACGTATTCTCTGACGCTTCAGCTCACTGTGCGTCATGACATCACCCCCAGCGTGTCTCTTGGGGCCGCGCGTCAGCTTGTGCGGGGCGGAAACAAACAGCGAAGCGTTCGCAGATCTGCGAGTTCCCGTGCGATATGACTAACTCCGCCGGAATATCGTGTCAATCTTTGTACTCTGGTCGTTCCGTATCTACCATCTCGTACCAATTACCGAGGGAGGAGTGTAAACATCTCTGAAGTCAGGAAGTGGGATGTGGCCCAGGTGAAAAGCTCGTTATATGGTTGCGAGCGTGGGCGCCGTGACTGATGGCACGCGATCGGTCACACACATCAGGATGACGCGTCGAGGGTAGTGCGATCAATATGTGATTTTGTGTGTAGATAGTTGTTTAGAGAAATAAAGAGCCACTGCAGTGAAGTCTTCGGTCTCAGCATCATAATGGACTCTTCTGTGGCGCTGGGGAGGCTGGAGCTCGCGCGCCCGTTGATGACCCGCGGCTCGTGTTTACCGGAGGGCGCGCAGAGCGCTCACCTGAACGGGTGCGTGCCGCTCTCTCATCAGGTGGCCGGACACAAGTATGGCGTTGATAAAGTGGGTCAGTACACTTTTGATTTAATTCCTTTTGATTTGAGTCTTGATTCTGTTATTTGAAATTGAACTGGTATTGTGCACTGGAGACCAGAGCTAGTTATCACATTTTTTTACTACAGTCAATATTTCTCGGGGTCAGTTTCTATTCATGCATATAGCTAAAAGGATTATTTGTGTATAAAGCTGTTGAGCAAATATTACCTTTATTACCCAGGAAACAAGGTACAGTTGACTTTTTGTGACAACATGCTGTCACAACATATGGGGTAAGTTGTCACAAAACATAATGTGTGTCATTTAAAACATATCAACAAAAATAAATAAAAGTGCCACATAAAATAATGAGTTTTATGGATGGAACAAAAAGTCATTTATCATGTTATAAATTGAACTTAAACTGATTGTAATTGGGAAAGTAATTAATTAGACATTCCAAATATTATATTTACTGACATGCCCTGGTCTTCTATAAGTAATATTTCCAAATATGCTTTTCCTGATGTAACTTAAAGGATTTGTCTCATGACATGCTAATGTTGATGATGACATGCAACTCAATAGGATTTGTCTCATGACATGCTAAAGTTGATGACATGCAAAAAAGCTCTACATGATATGACCAATGACCCATATATATATATTTTTTTATTTTTTTATTTTACTGTATTATTTATTTATTTCTGTCCTATAAACAATTTTCCATAATAAATCTATTTTTATAATTGTATTTATGAATGAGAATAATCGTTCAAGATTATAAAATTGAAAAATGGAAAATTTAAACCATCCAGAATGCATCACAGTGGTGTGAATAAGGGGGAAATATGCTTAATTGTAATTAAAGTATTGTTACAATGCAAAAAAAAAAAAAAATGTAATACTCCTTAAAATTTTTATTTTATGCAAATAGGCTTAGTAATGCATTACTTTCTTTAGGGTGACACCAATAGCGTGTAAATGTACCGTAAGTTGCAAATTGCTTTGCATAACAGACGCATAGCGTTCATTTACATAAAGGTGTTGGAAGACATTTCCCCCTGGTTGATCATGTTTAACGTCAATAATTAATTCTTGTCAGTTTTGCTTTTGTTTACTATGTGAATTGCTTTTAAAATATCTATTTTTAAAGAGGGGGAGCCTGACCTAAATTCAGAGCTTCAACATCTATGACTGTAATCTCTAAGCCCTGTCAACCTAGTTCTCAGCAGCCTATAGGCCAGGCTGTGATGTCATTTGCACACACTGCTGTCATTTCCACATCATATGAGTCTCTACTTGCGTAACTCTGCATGAACAAATGTGTATTTAAAAAAAAAATGTCAGTGATGCATATTGGTATGATCATGACAGTAATGATTGAGCTGTTTTTCAATCACAGGGATCTTGCAACATCCTGACGGTACGGTCCTGAAACAGCTTCAGCCTCCTCCGAGAGGACCCAGAGAGATGCAGTTCTACAGCAATGTGAGTGTTACAGGAGTGTTCTGGGTTCAAGGCCCCATTGACTTCCATAGTATGGAAAATAATGCAATGGAACTCAATGGGGCCCCATCTACTTTTTTGTCACCGACATTCTTTAAAACTACATCGTTTGTTTTATCCCTTTAAGTAGAGGAAAATTCACCCACAGGAATTACGTACGCCTGTTCGCACTATGCTGTACAATTTGGGGAAAATTCCAAATTCAATGTTGCGATTGCGATATAATTAACAAATGGTTTCATGAGTCAACTTGCTTGGTTCTCAAGGAAAATGTACACACAGATTAGTGATGATAATGTTGAATTGTGTATTTCTCAACGCAAACTAGCAACAACTAAATATATATATATATATATATATATATTTTTACAAAATTAGGCTAAATAATGCCATCTTTGCATTACTACAAACTTGTAGCAGTAAAGCAGGATGTAACATGCTTTATCTAAACTCAGTCTGTGGATCATTTTAGGTGTAAAGTGTACTGTGATTGTCAAAGCCTTTGGCAACTAAACAGAATTTTGTTAAGTTTAGTGACAACATGTTACACATTGACTTGTTGGCTACTGTTTTTATTATTGCTTGACACAAATTTCACAATTTCAATTCAAATCTTGTGATTTGATTCTGATCTTGATTCAATATCGATTCATTTGGATACATATTAGGGAGCCTAACTGTAGATGTATGTTAATTTTCCTAATGCTGTAAACATACAGAGAGCCCTGTCAGGTGGTATTATTATTTAACAACTAAATATAATGTAGTTTTTACTAGGCTTTAATAATAACGTTATAATATGTTATTACAAATATAATGAGTATGTAACATAGTGCACATATTTAGCAAAATACTTCTGTCTATATAATTTCTCTAGCCAACTAACGCGAGATCAGATGGCTTTCCTGAGGTGAATGTAACGTTAAGTGACATTGTTCTCCAGCTGTTTTATTGACCTCTTTCCGCCGTTGAAAAATAGGCTTTTTTAGGCTTGACATCATGATTGCGATATGATTAATCGTGCAGCACTAGTTCGCACCAACTATATAACTATAACTATAACCATTAAGTTTTAGTAATCATTCTAACTCCAAAAGGCTTTGTACTTTAAGCAAGATTAAATAACAAACTTTTGTAGGACTGGTTTTGGTCTGAACTCGATTTAAATTCATTCCCACTTGATGAACCGATATTGGTTCTTCAATCCCAAGTATCGATCTTTTAGTCTGTGGTTTTTAATTATGTGAACACAACTTTCCTAAATATTATTTGTCCCATCCAATAAATCACAATGATCTTTGTAACTTTTCATATTAAACAAAGACCTATCTTTAAAATTCTGTCAATTTTATGACGAAATGATTCTGTTTTACAACAAATATGACAGCCACTGTTTAGATGTTTAAACAAAAGGAATTGGGGTAGAAACATAATTATGTCATTAAAAAGGATATTTTAACATTGTTATTATAGAAAGTAAATATAGTAATGTAATGTACCAATGTACGTGTCCATCTGTGCGACACGTATTTTTGCTTTTTCAATCTTGGCAAAATTTGTAGTACAGAAGTTGTGTTGTGTGTAGATCTGGTCAAATGTACTTGGAATTTATTTAAAATATTAGCAAAAAGGCATAGCCACACATTATGTGTGCCAAATCAGTCGCTTTAGGATTACTTTAATGTTTGCAGACCAAATAGCTCAACATGAGGCGACTCGAAGAAATGTCAAATAAAACGCCATCATGTTTTAAAGAGTGAGTTGATTAAGTGTTGGAAATAACAAACGATGGGCACAGAACGGTGACATTTAGAATTACTCACCCACCACAGGTGAAGGGTGCAAACTCAAAATACCTGTCGTGTTACATGCCTCCATTTAAATAGATTGTGTGGGTTTGGGTGGGTTTCAGGAATGTTTGGATGAACTATAAAATAATTCACGTTCACGTTTGTTTGAAAATATTTAGCTTATAGAGCTTATCTCAGTTTAAATGCTTCAGTTTGTTTTTATTATATTATGCGCCTAATAAATAATTAAGCTCAAAAGGGGAATTCATGAGCAATAGATAAACATTACATGTTGATGGTTTAATGCACAGTATGGTTATTCCAAACCATCTTTGTGTAAATGCTTCATTTTTTACATTATTATTTACAATATATTACAATATTATTATGAAGAATTAAACTGTAAGATTTTTCTTTTTTCTCTTTTTAATAGAATTTAAAGACTGGTACAGTTAACACAACACTGTAAAATAATTGTCTCAGGTAACCTAAAATGTGTTTAATTTAGTAACTTCTGAATGAATGGTTTCAAATTTCAAAATACGTTTTTTTTTTTTTTTTTTAATTTCAAAAATAGGATTTCAAATTTACCGGTAGATCAAGGGTCAAACATCAATAGCATAGCAATTTAAAGTTAAAAACTGCATGATATAACCACATTTCGTGTGTTTGCATATGTTGTACAGATATGGTATAAAGAATGTTCTTGCTCAGGTGGCCAAAATATCCAAAATATTTATTTGGAGAAAACATTGGCACCTGGCATTAAAGCACAAGTTCGGTATTTTACAATTAAAGCCCTGTTTCCTGATGTAATAGAATGGTTAAGAAACGGAAATGGGGTTGTTCTACGCTATCTCACGACCAATTCGTACGAATTTGTACGAGTGATTCAAAATTGGCTTATTCGTACTAATTCATACGACCTCACTCGTACAAATTTGTACGATTTGTCTAAACCCACGTGACGGTTATGTTTAGGGTCAGGGGTAGGTCATTCGTACGAATTGGCTAACTCGTAAAATATGTACGATTTAGCAAAATCGTACTAATTCATACGAGTGAGGTCGTACTAATTGTTACGAATTAGCCACCTCGTAAAATTTGTACGAATTCCCGTGAGATCGGGTTGGGTTGTTTGTATTCTTTCTGTAGTTTTATGCAGTCGTGGTATCATAGGCTACACTATACAAGTGGTTTGCTTGCAATTGGCAAAGGTGCATTATCGCCACCAACTGGGCTGGAGTGTCAAGCTCTCAACGGAAGAATGTACGATTGTGAGGCATTCAGAAAAATAGGTCTACAGTGATACAACGAATGGTAAAACACCTGTTGGAAAGCATCTTTTGCAGCGATTTTTGTGTGAGCATATCAGTGAAAACCCCAGACCACTCGGTGAGTTTCACGTATTTGTAAACTAAAGTGTTTATGCATTTTATGAAGGATTATTCAGACCACAGAATCCGAAAATTCTCGGGACAGCAGCATCTGTCTAAAAAAACAATCTTAACCATTCTATTACATCCAAAACAATCTTAAAACAGGGTAAAATACCAAACTTGTCCTTTAAGATCCTTTTCGGTCATTGGGTCACAAGTGGTCAAAACCAAAGAAACTGTAAATGGGGTCCAGAATGTTCCATGATCTAATTGCTGAAATAGGGAGCATAGTCAAAAACATGTTAGATCATTGTGTTTGTAGTGTAAACTCTAATGTGTGTTGGACAACAGGGAAGTGTCACCTACTAACCTATCAATAAAACACTGCACTAAAATAAGGGATTTAAACAGTTTTTTGCATTGCCGACCATGTGAATTAAAAAAAAAAAGTAACCAATCTAAACACGTGCACATTTAAACGGCAGAAATGGCGTGACGATTTATTTGCTATTTCTTATGTGTTATTAAGGCACAGTTACGGGCATAGCAAGTGTTGTATCCATTCCAATAATTTCAGTGTGATCCTGTTTTTGACTCCAGGTTTATGCGGATGACCACTGCGACCCCTGTCTTGTAGACCTCCAGGCGCACCTTCCCAAGTACTATGGCACGTGGTCCTCTCCAGACTCTCCCGCAGGTACGCCGACGGATGCACTGAGCGATGAGGAGATTGGTGGATATACAGCATGAGTTTAGTAAGCATGTCTCCTCGCTCTCTTCCACAGACCGGTACCTCAAGCTGGACGATGTGACGCGCAGGTTTCAGAAGCCGTGCATCATGGACGTGAAGATCGGCCAGAGGAGCTATGATCCCTTCGCTTCACAGGAGAAACGGGAACAGCAGATCAGGAAATACCCGCTGATGGAGGACATCGGCTTCTTGGTTCTGGGGATGAGGGTATGTTGTTTTCTTCTTTAAAATGTGTGTTTCATTGATTATCTTCTAATGGATATATGTCTAATGAATTATTGATTAAAGTGCCCCTATTAAAGTTATTTTAAAGATTTCCACTTTTGTATTTGAGGTCTCCTAAAATAAGTTTACGTTAGGGGTTAAACAGACTGTAGTTGATTTGTGAATCCTCAGTTCGACTTGCATGTGATTCGCAGACTAATATTAAAGTTTAACCATCATAGAGTGAATGTTATTGATCTGAACATGTTTTGTCTTGCCAATTTTTATATTCAAGCAATTTGAAAACATTCTGGTGCAAAAATAGGTTAAAGAGAACTCAATTTGGTACTTGAACTGTTTTCTGTGTGCACATATACACACAGAGGCGCGTTTCAGACAGAAACGACGTCCTTTTGAATGAAATCTTGCACACTGCTTTGCCTCTTCCTGATAAATTAGGTTTATTTTTAATGTGTTTAAAGAAATATCTGCCGTCACATTCGTGTCATGGAACTTGTGAATTGCGTGGGGGTCGTGTTTGAGTAATACGATGCAGAATTTGGGGTTGAGGTGTCGGAACACCTTTGCAAATAGCGGACAGACTGTCACAGACTCGCCTAACAAGTTTAAAGGTGGTTGTTCCACTCTCTACCAGCTCTTTTGTATCATCGGTACTTCCTGTATATAACCCAAACACTGCTGTCCAAATAAAGGTAGCCCTTGTTTTTTCACACAAGCATAACGCAATAGTTTACTTATTTGATCGATCATTCATTTATTTTCTCATTTATTTCATTATGTATGTACTTTTTTTGATTTTTGTGGGTAATGGGGATTCTTTAATTTTGAGCAGAAATGGAATTGGTGATTAAAAATGCCACGTTGCTTAGATATGCAGTACCGGTCAAAAGTTTGGAAACATTATTGTTTTAATGTTTTTGAAAGAAGTCTCTTATGCTCATCAAGCCTGCAATTATTTGATCAAAAATACAGAAAAAACAGTAATATTGTGAAATATTATTAGAATTTAGAATAGTGTTTTTCTGTTTAAATATACTTTAAAATATCATTGAAAACAGTTGTGTATTATTTTTTTTAGAATTCTTTGAATAGAAAGTTCAAATGTTCAAATTTATTTAAAATATAATTTTTTTCTAACATTATAAATGTCTTTATTCCAACTTTTGATCAATTTAACTCATCCTTGATGAATAAAAGTATTGATTTATTTTGTTCACTTCCCCTAAAAATAAAATAATAATTTTTACTGACCCCAAACTTTTGAAGGGTAGTGTCGAATGTTACAAAAGCTTTCCATTTCAGATAAATGCTGTTCTTTTGAACTTTCTATTCATCAAAGAATACTGAAATGAAAATGTAAAAAAAACTGTTTTCAACATTGATAATAAACATAAATGTTTCTTGGGCATCAAATCATCATTTTATAATGATTTTTGAAGGATCATGTGACACTGAAAACTGAAGTAATGATGCTGAAAATTCAGCTTTGATCACAGAAATAAATTACTCTTTACTATATATTTACATAGAAGATGGCTGTTTTAAATTGTAATAATATTTAGTGTTGAAAGCATTCTTTAGAAATGTTGGCCCATATTGATAGGATAGCATCTTGCAGTTGATGGAGATTTGTGGGATGCACATCCAGGGCACGAAGCTCCCCTTCCACCACATCCCAAATATGCTCTATTGGGTTGAGATCTGGTGACTGTGGGGGCCATTTTAGTACAGTGAACTCATTGTCATGTTCAAGAAACCAATTTGAAATGATTCGAGCTTTGTGACGTGGTGCATTATCTGAAAGTAGCCATCAGAATATGGGTACATGGTGGCCATAAAGGGATGTACATGGTCAGAAACTCAGGAAGGCCGTGGCATTTAAACAATGTCCAATTGGCACTAAGGGGCCTAAAGTGTGCCAAGAAAACATCCCCCACACCGTTAACCATATATAAATATATATATATATATATATATATATATATATATATATATTTACACACACATATACACACACTTTCTTGTGTAATGCTCATCATTCATTCCTGACCTGAACGTGGCTTTGCTCTTCCAGAGGTGCTGTCATTTTAGCTGATGATGAGCTTCGGTATGGCCAGCGTCTGAGCCTCTTGCGTTTAGAGGTTTTAATTAATGATCTGCAGCTTTAGAGGGAGCAGAAGGGAATGAAAGCTCAGTGGTGAAGCCACAGCGCTGCGTGAACTGGAGTCACATGTTTACTGAGCTCTGGACACAGCAGGCAATATTAACACTGTCATGAACACTGCTGGAGTGAAGTGTTCGGATAGCTTGGAAGGGACATTTGGTCTGTTATAATCATGGAAAATGGGACAAACAGAGTATGCAAAGACACAAAATTGGACCTAGCATTTATTGCAATCGTGGTTGAAGCAATCATAAATCCTCTGTAAACTAGTGAACTTTGATCACTTTAACCACTAAAGATATGCATAATGTTGTTTAAACTGTTAATCGGCAACAAATAAGGGACTCCACACTCCTAGTCAAAATTATTAGCATTATTAATTAGCAAATTGAAGAAACATCGGAGACATTTTGAGTTTTGACTTGATGCACATTATTGCTGAATTAGAAGGCAAGTTAGAAGGCTTTTCAATCTACAAATCGGCAACATTTACAATGGATATTTGTTTTTAATGACCCTACAAGTTCGATTAAACTGCCAAAATACGAGGGGAAAAAAAAATAGATATATATAGGGAAGAACAAAACACTAAATGTGATTAACACATTTATCTGGCAAGATTATTTGGCAAAAAATGGCAAAATACACTTATTTTACAAGGCTCACAGGAAAAGCATACATTGACAACAATATAATCCGTTATTAATATTTCATTGGCTCTCTTGTTTTTGCTTGTTCATAAATTCTTTGTATGACAGCATGGGCTCAAAATGATCTCTGCACAATTCGGCATGTTTCATTGCTTTACCAGAAATATATGAACTGACTGATTAATTGACTCCTGCATAACTACTTAAAAATTGTTATATTTTAATAAGTGGTGTAGATGTCAATTTGTCCTAGGCCGTGCATCACATTAGGCAACTACTGTAGATATATAAACGTATAAACACACACCGTGATAGTGATAAGCCATGCATAGTTTTGCTTGTGGTTGTCATGATCTATAAATGTATGATACCATGGAGGAACAATGGTGAATTTTAATGAGCAAATACAAAGAAGGGCTGTTGAACATGTAATTTGTCAGCTCTTTTATCATGAGCATTTAGAGCCATGCACATTAGCTTGTATCTATCAGGACTGTTTGGCATCTATGTTCTGTAGGGGCGTAACGGTTCAAATTAGTCACTGTTCAGATTTTATAACGGTTTTGGTACGTTCAAGTATGTGCTATGGTTAAGAAATAAAGGACTATTGTCAAATATATAAACAAAAGAAACTAAGAACAAACAATCAAAATACAATAAATGCATTAGAGCAAAGATAAAATAAAATAAAAATAAACATTGTTTTTCAGGTTATTTAGGCATCTAAATGTACACTGGAAAAAATTTGGAGTAGGATTTACTTGAAAAAACTTTGCTAAACGATCTCACTCAGAAAATGCTAGTAAATTTAGAAAGATTTGCCGAGTAAAAACCTAAACATATTTATCAGTAGCTTTAATTAGAAATCTTTAAGTTAAATTTACGTGGAATATGGAATTAAGTAAACTTTACAAAAAATAAGTAATTTTAACTCGGCTTGTAAAAGGTTGATTAATACCGATTTCCTTTGTGTTACATTTCACTAAAACAATGATCTTGAATTTTATTAGTCATTTATAGTATGTGCTTTACTTAGATCATCAAAGTAATTTATATATACATCATGTCAGACATTAAGCCTCATGTGAATGCAAACACCTCAATAGTTGGTAGACAATACACAATGGCGGTAACATTTGATGGGTCGTTTTTGAGTTTGAATGTGTCATTTTGAGCAAAAAATTTACTCGAAATGTCACAAAATGGCAATTTACAAATACTGACAACAAAAATCAATGATAAAACAGTGTACATACAGCTGGAAACCAGTGAAAAATGAGCCTCATTGATTATTCAAGGTGCAGTGCATGATGGGAACCCCAGCATCAGAAAAGTTGAGTAATTTTTACTTAATTTTATTGAGTTGATATACACTTTCATTTATACTCGCTTGAATTAAGTACTGATATGGAATTTACTTAGTTTTTTAAATTCTTGCCTGAACTAACTTTTTCAAGTAAATTACATTCGGTTTTTTCACTAGTATTTCCTTCACCAAAAAATCATTTTTTTACAGTGTAGTTTTAAAGATTAATCATTAAGCTATTCAGTTGAGAGCAGTGTGTGATTTCTGTTTATAATGGTCTATATTATAAACTTTTGGAAATTGAGAAGCGAAGACCGGGAGACTCGGTTGTATCTTCAGGATTCGTTATTGAGAACACAAGCTCATGGTTGGTGCCATAGATATGTACATAAAGGCTAGGAGTGTCATCCGCGCTGCTGGCCAATGGAGGTCAACGTCAGCACCTGGCGGCCATCTTGTCACAGGCAGCTCGCTCATTGGTAACATTGTTTTAATGGTGCATGTACTTTTTAAATCACCGTAACTTGCTCAATTTTCTACCGATTTTCAAACAGTCTAGTTTGTTTTAAACGGCAGAGATGTAGTTATGATACTGCATACTTATGGATAATAAGTGTATAAATAAATAATCATCCAGAATTATAGCCACGTTAATAACGTTTGTAAGAAACCAAACCGTTTGTAAATCCGTCAAGATTTCAACGAGATAAGATTATGTCTTACATCAGATACCACAGAGCCCGCCAGAAAGCTTGTCTGTGACAAGATGGCCGCCGGTGATGACGATGGAAACTCCGCCGTAACACATCTAGCCTTTATATACATATCTATGGTTGGTGCAGTCATCAAGTCTAACTGGGAGTGTACATTGTAGTTTATACAGATTTTAAGAGGCAGTGCTTAGAAATGGAGACAGCTTCTGGCTGATGACCTTAAACAATGAATCCGGGTATAGGAACCCACCCTAGACTCTCTAGAGTACCAGCAATCCTCATCCAATCAGCATAACTATGTAGAGAATGGGACAGGGGCTCCAAAACCCTTAAAGACAAAAGGTGAGATTCTCAGTAATCTGATTCATTTGACTTGCAATAGAATAGAAACTGGCAGAAAACTGGAAAGTTTGCAGAATAAGTAACCTGAGAACATTATCATAACTTGAAATGCTAAATACAATCTAAATGCCCTGTGTGGATCAGAACCAGCTGTCTTGCGTAACTCATCCTGTTGATAAAGCTTGTTTTAAGTTTGTTTACTCGCATGTTTTCTTGGCAGCATATGTATGTGAATAAATCTGGGAAAAAAGACAATTACAGAGCTATCTGCAGTTTCTCAAAACTTGGTTGACACAGATGATGACTGATTGTCCTGTTTTTTGTGTCATATTGTGTAGAATGCCCACAGACTAATGGGGTGAAAATGAGGGGAACTATTCTAGGGGCCAAAAGGGCCCAAGACTACTACAAAAAGAAGTAAACCCCAAACCCTGTTATTTGTACAACTATTTTTAATATATTCATCTGTGGTCTCTTCTTAAAAAAATATAATAATTATCCTCTGCGACAAAGTCCTAAAAATAAACCGAGTAGCGGAGTTCATGCACTGGGTGAGTCATATTGTCAGGAAAGAAAGGAAAATTGTTTACCATAAAAAGAGAAGAACGGAGGATAATTTATGACCAAACCATTTTCCAAAAAAAGTGAGTGTATTAACAAGACATATAATGAATGTATGAATAATTGTGTATATATTATTTAACAGAATCCAAATTTCAACAACTACAGTGAACAACTCGTTTGGACTAAATTGCACAATATTTTTCTTATGAAGTCATAATGTTCCTCATTTAAATAATCCCCGCCTCCGGAATACGCTAAAAAGTTGATGTGACCTTGTAGTCAGGGTCTGAATCGGGAGTCGAAATTGAATGGGTTGAAATTGTTTGAAAATGACACCATCAGTAATATTTACATCCATGTAGAGCTTGCGGTTATGAAGGGGCGCTGCATTTCCCGAACACGCGCTAAGCGCTGCCAATCACAACACTCAGGGCCAGTAACCAATCACTGCACATTACGTTGTGTTCAGTCAGACTGGGGAATTTGATAAAATTTGTGAAAAATAATGATTTATTTTTTTCCAAAATCAAGTGTGAAAACATATTCTAGTATGCAATATTCAATATGCTATATATATATATATATATATATATATATATATATATATTCTTTCTCTCTCTCTCTCTTTCTCTCTCTTTCTCTCTCTCTCTCTGTATATATATATATATATATATATATATATATATGATCCTTCAGAAATCATTTTGTGTGTGTGTGTATATGTGTGTGTGAGAGAGAGAGAGAGAGAGAGAGAGAGAGAGAGAGAGAGAGAGAGAGAGAGAGAGCGTGAGAGGATATGTTTGGTTATCTGTGCCATCAGACAGGATGAGCTTATCACACTGGCCTCTCCCAGCATCCTCAGGGTCTTTCGCTCCTCTCTTGAGAAACTGGGTGGAGACCTCTAAACTCTTTATCATCAGCTCATGATGGATGAGGTTTATTCAACACCCATTTACTTAAACAGACCCATGTGCTTTTTTATTTCTTTAGAGAAAGTGTAAGTCAGAGAACAGGCTTAATATCCACTGCCTTTCTTGATTTATGTGTGGCTTTAAACGTGGAATGTAAAACTTTACAGATTTGTATTACTGTACATGTGAAAGCTAGGTTAGTGTTAGTGCATTGACCCTAAATAAACAGTCATGTATCTTTACAATATGTCTGTAGTATACAATCAATCCATTATTTATTATTATAATAAATGTCTGAGTAACCTTTAAGGTTACACGTGAAATATTAAAGCATTAGTTGCAAGGTAAATTGTCAATTAGTAGAGATTTGTATTAGTATAGGCTTTGTGTGTATATGGATGGATGGATAGATAGGCCTGGGGGTCAAATGTCTGAAGAATCTGACTAAGCGCTGGCCATAGGAAACTCACCTTTTAAAGAAAATGCTCACATTTTTTCCCACAAAGCCATGCATTTAAAAAAAAAAAAACCTGCATCAGCTTCACAGATGGAGAAACCGAGGGAGCAAAATGCCAGAATGTTTCTGAAACTAATCAGCCAATCAATGTCAGCAACTCAATGCATTTAGACATATAAACATGATGATCAGCTGAACTGAGCATTACAATGGATAAGAAAGGTGATTTAAGTGCCTTTGAATGTGGCATCATTTTTTTGTGCTAGACGGGCTGGTTTGAGTATTTCAGAAACTGCTGATTTACTGTAGCATTGAATGCTCTACAAATAATTATTATACGTTGATGATGACAAAGGATAGCCTATTAATTAACCAACATCGTTATTCAGAGAGCGATCTAGTCAGACTTTTTCCTTCTAAATATTTTGAATTTGATTGTACAGCCTACAGTTAAAATCACGATCTCCGATGTTTTTTTTTTTAAAGTGTTTTAGACAATGATGTGAAAAGCAACTATTGTGAATGAACATTTATTTGACTTATTAGTGACATGAATTCGTCTTTTCTTTCATTTTAATGTCATTTTTATTGTTTAAAATGTTTATCTTCGCTATATTAGAATGCAATAAAAATGTATATAAACAAAATGGAGTGGCATTATGTCTTTGGGAAATTAAGTGACGGATAAAAACACAAAAAAGATTAGATTTACACTCAGCTAAATCTGTCAGTGATGGATATCCTAATAACTATAGTGCCACTTTGCATATCTGTGTTACAGTGCTTTGTGTAAACTTCTAGTAATGGATTACAATAATACTATAATGGATGATAATAGCACTTATGTGAGCAGTGTCATTGGAGATTGCATATATTGCATACATCTTTGAAGCTATCAGCAGGGAGTAAAACATGTAATGGGCCATAATGTAAAAGCTTTAATGTTTAAATTCATCCTCTATATGACATATGTCATACATATTTGATAAAATAATGTAATTTGTGAATAATGTAATAGGTAATCGCGCCTATGCGTGTTTAAACTTTCATGACGCAATCGAAACTTGGTTCAGCGCACTTAAACACTCGTGTTAAAACGTCAGCTAAAAAAACGTTTTTGATATCAATTACGTCACTGAGTTACAGGCTGCAGCATGGACTTCTGGGATAACTCATCTCACACTGGTTTCTTGAACATGACAATGAGTGTATTGCATTTGTTCTTGTTTATTTGAAATGTGAATTGATTAAAGTTGACAACATTAAATTAATTTGAATGTCTGCATCCTGAAATATTATTTGTCTTGTTTGTTTTACCCATTTAATTTCTTCTGGCTTAAAGGGCACCTTAAGTAAAAAGAGTCCAATAGTCTAAGGTAAATGGCTGGTTGACCTTTACTATATTTAAATTTTTTTTTTAGCAGTCTTCAGGATAGGGCTTGTCTAAAATACATAAAAAGGGCAGTGAGGTCCAGTTTCTTGGTGAAATATTGATGGGGAGCAGGCAGTATGTAAATTCTCATTCTCAATCTGTCCCAGGGGTTCAGCTCTCTGCCAGCTCGTACAGAAAAACAGATGGATGAAAAGAGCCGATCGACATAACCACCAAGCAAACAGAACCATTACTCATAATTGCTCTGTTGATTTGGATGATATAGAAAGCAACTTAATGCCCTTCTCAAAATAACCCAAATTACACGGTACGATATTGCATTGGCTCCCTATTCACCCTTCCAGAAGTTCATCTTGAGTTTCTTTTCCGCTCTGGAGCTTATTCAATCAGTGGAGTTACTGTAATGACCTTTCATGTCCTCTAGAGGGAGAGCAAGACCTATGAAGAGTGATTCATATTTAAAATGTTTCTCCCTGTCTTTTAGGTGTATAAAGTTGGCTCGGACAGCTTTGACACCTATGACCAGCATTATGGAAGAGGTCTCGTGAAGGACACGATCCAAGAGGGTAAGCTCAACCTCAGTCAAAGCATCATACTGTTTGTGCCATTCCACATCACCTTAAATTATGCGTGTTTCTGTTGTGTTTAAGACGCATGAGGTTTAATTTACTCTTAAAGGCCGTTTGAAATGCTTTGCCCAGTAGCGTGCTATTATTTATGTTTTTAAATCTACTTTGTGAACCATAATTTGCTGCTGTTTGAAGGTATTATCATCATTTGTTTCCAAATAGATACATGTCTAATGCCTGAAGTAAAATAGAAGTGTTCCTGTGGCTCAAACATCTGAGGATAATTCCCAGGGAATGCTTGCCTTGAACATAATAAGAGTGTGTACCTTGAATGCAATGCAAGTCGCTTTGGATTAAAGTATAAATGGGCCTTTGGTGTGAGAGAGACCCGGGTTTGAATCCACTGTGAGACACCAATGTGTCCCTGAGCACGACACTTAACCCCTAGTTGCTCCAGAGGTGTTCGACCTCTGACATATATAGCAATTGTAAGTCGCTTTGGATAAAAGTGTCGGCTAAATGAATAAATGTAAATGTTTAATGTAAGGTACAGTAAGAAATTTAGTTAAAAATAATCAAGGCATGCTTTCATGAGCACAAATAAAAAGCCTGCATGTAAACAAAATATTTTGTTATGCACCAGTATAACTAATGAACAGTAGTGATGCACCAAACACTGAAACTGAACTGAAAATAAAATGCATTCAATAGTAAATCTAATTTATTTAATAGTCAACATTTAAACTGAGTTGAGTATATTTAAATAAAAAAAAAAATGTAATAGCTCCTAGTACGGCTGTTTTTATATAAACTTTTGAATGATGTTTTTATTCATTGGCTTGTTTTCACGACCGATTTATTGTCCCACTTTGTATTAAGTGTTAATATATTAACATTTAAATTCATCTCTTGATACAATTCAGTTATTGTGTACATAATTGTTTTTTACACTGTACTTGTGTAGCACTCAAACCGTATTCACTTTAATCCTGTAGTTGTGGACAAATTTGGGCACAGAGGACTCAGGTGTGATCCTAATTTTATTTATTATAAATGTTATATCACGGTCTTCGATAAAGTTTTGTCTATCCATTTATGGTGTTTTTTTTTTCATATTTTGGGGGTATTTTTTAATTTATTCACTTCAAAAAGTACCATATTTTCTATGTAAATTATGCTTATTTTAATTTTTTATTTTTTTATTATTGTTTTAACTACATTAAAATATCATTCCAGTAAGTTCTTAGAGCTAAAACCTAAAGATGAAGTGCCTTTGCTGTCATCTGGTGTCTTATTTTGGCTTATTTTAGAATGCTCTAAATTACAGTTTGTCCCATTCATTTCTATGGGTGCCCATTTTTGACCCAAATACAAGATTAAGGAGTTTTTTTTGTTGTTTTTTTCACCCACTTAACATTGTAGAATTGAGTAAAAAAAAAAACTGGGTGTGTTCAGGAGGCAAACTTAGGGAAAGTAGCCAAATCTTGCACCGCTCAGATTAAGTGAAGGTATTTTTTTAAAAATAAAACTATTTTGTCCACATTTGTCCAGAATACGGTTTTAGGGTTAAAAAAAAATCATGTAATTACAGCGGCAGTTAATTTCTATAATTACACTGTTGACCTTTCCTTTACTCCTCAACCTACCATTAAACAAGAACACATATGGGTTGAATGACCCTTTCATTTAAGCAGAATATCTCAAATACAGATAATAGATAATAAATATATTTACACATCAACCTGATTACATTATTTAGCATTGATGTAAACGCTGTTCAGATTCATCTTTAAAAAGTGTCCATGTAAACGTAGTGTTTGTACGTCTTCCGCGCTTTAAAACACTGATTGAGCTATATGATACATTACACCAGAGATGTATAAAGTACTCAACATTTTTTGTACTTGAGTATTGCAAGTAGTTTATTTTAAAATTCACTACTTAAGTACTAAAAGTAAAAGTACAAGTATTGTGTCATGTAAATATTAAAGAAAGCAGTCAAAAGTTTGAACTAGCAATCAAATAAGGCGCTTTGGCGGGATACAAATTTGCTTTGGTGGCCGCCAAAAAAAAATTCATTGCAGGACAACCCTATAAAACTGGCGTGTGATTTAGGCAGCATGAAAGCCAACTTGCAACGAATGATTCGTAAAATTTTTATAATTGTAATGAGTAACTAGCAGAACATTAAAAAACTATAGAAGTAAAAGTATTAATTTCATCGAAAATATCTACTAAAATAAAAGTAGAAGTATGAGAAAAAAACAATACTCTAGTAGAGTACAGATACAGCATTTTAGTACTTAAGTAGTTCTACTTCGTTACTATACATCTCTGCATTACACTAAGTATAGTTGATTTTCATTCTTGCGTCAACTGAGCTATTTACCCCCACGTTGCAGATCCAAGTTCAGCTTTGTCTTGAATTGCCTGCAGATGCGATTGACAAGGTTTCAGCAATTGACATCTTTGGTTCGGATTTGAGTAATTCAGTTTCAAACCAGATCTTCTCCGTTATCCAGGTTTATCCAAGTTCTTCTTCAACGGTAATATTCTCCGCAAAGACGCCATCACTGCCAGCATCCTCAAAGTCCAGAAGATCCTTCAGTGGTTCGAGGGCCAGAGTCGGTTTCACTTTTATGCAAGCTCTCTGCTCTTTGTGTACGAGGGCGTCTGCGCGCCCAGCCCCGCTTCCCAGACGAGAGAGAAGCTCGCACCCGAGGCCTGTGAGCAGAACAACAACATCGATCAGAGCCTGTCGTCCATGTACTCCCTGCACAAGAAAGGCTGCATTCAGAGCCACTACCAAGCCAAACAGGACAACGGCGTGTGGAGCTCCCCACAGCAGCCCAACGGCAACCGCAGCCTGCCAAGACTAGAAGAGGACCGGGAGGAGGAGAAGAGCCAAGCGGGACAGGAAACGCTCAGTGACGTGGAGGTAAAGATGATCGACTTTGCACATGTCTTCCCTAGTGACGTTCCCGATCAGGGTTACATCTACGGTCTGAAGAATCTACTGAAGGTCCTAAATCAGATTCTGGAGGAGTGATGGAGTGGTTTGTTGTCGCTGGAGGTATGACTTTTGTAGCCACTTTCTTGTCCGTCTACTCGCCTCTTTCTAATCTGCACTACCTACGCCATCAGTGGAGTAACATGTTTGTAATCCTTCGTCTAATGTATGTGCTTTAGTCTTTTAAAAGCTTTGTACAGTCAGTTTGTACAAACTTATCTTACTCTTACTCAGGTAAATGAATCTATAACGCTTGTATAATATTTATCCCGACAAAAGGAATTCAAACTGTTGAAACTCTCATCATATTATGCCTCAGATATTACATTAGTTCCTGTTTCCAGAGCCATTTCCGAATTTTTTTCTTTTTTCTTTTTATTCTTCTATTTTTTTAAATCAGTGTAATTGAAATTAGAAATTTCGGTGAGTGAGGATGTAGGGAAATATTTGACGTTTCTTTCGCATATGCTGCCAATATGTCCCTGTCTGTGTCAGACCTGTTGAATTGTGAATTTTATCTATTTTTTTTTTTAAACATGATTTGAAAAGAATTAAACCTTGCATGTTCTGTGATTATACTGATGCAATACGACTGAAAAAACAATGACCGTAATGAAGATCGTTTATTTTTTCATTGTATGTCTACAACGAATGCCAAAGTTTCCATCAATGAAGTGAACCTGAATTGTGAATTCTCTGATTACTAACCGAATTACTTGAGGGGCGTCCGGGTATTTCATTTGGTGACTGCATAGGACATGATAGGAACTCGCATAGAAGGACTTGAAGTTAGTCATAAAAAAGCCATTTAATGTGATTCAATATGAGAGGGGGGAAAAAACAAGAATACCCTCAAAACTATAAACTTTTTTTTGTTGTTGCTAATCTCATTTTACTTTATTTTACATGTTTATGATTTGATTTGTCCGTAATGTTTCAAATGTTTTCTCAGTAGGACAGACTAACATTGTGTTTCTTTAATCAACCAAGGCCTATTCAGGGTTCCCACAATCATTAAAAAACTTGCGAATATCAGAGAATTGTATTATATCATGAGGGTTTTTTTAAGCTTGAATGCATATTTCAAAAAATCTGTATCTGGTAATTACCTCGGCTGAATAGTTATTGAAAAGCATGGAAAATGCATTGGTCAGTAATGTGGGAACTCTGTCTATTGCATGTTTTAATACAAATGGTCTTATGCTTGCATGTATAACAATCATTCATTTACATCTCAATATGTTAAGCTCAAGAGTTAAGACATCAGGAAATAGTCCTTTTTAATTTCACATGGATCTCTTTTGTTTTTTTATTTATGTAATATGTTTTATTAGCTTGGTTGTGATGGATGTCGAAAGACCACATCTCCTATAACGTAGTGCAGCAAGTGTACTAAAAACAACATTCTTGTTCATGTGCACCTTTTAAAATGGTGCAACATTGGAAACATACTTTTCCGGTTGTACCCATAAAGAAAAAAAAGTCTCTGAATAGCATAGTTCTTTGGGCAAAGTAAAAAAAAAAAAAAAATTGCCTTTTGTGCCTATCTATAAATAGTCTTTTTGCAGAAAGTTTTTCAGTAGACCTCACACAAATTCAATATCTGAAAAACTGAAAGCTCTCGAGTACTAGATTGCTCTCCTGATGAACTTATAATCATGTTTACATTTCTACCTTTATGGTTATCTGGACAAAGAGACATTGTTATATAGTCGTACATGCATAGCTCAATAATTAATGTCCCTTAATCATCATCATCATCTTATGCACTGAAAGTGAAAATACTATGTGTACATTTATTGTTAATTACTAAAGTTTATCTTGTCATTTGTTTTCTTTTTCTGATTGTTTTATTATTATTATTTTTAATAATAGTATATAGCACCTGATTGGTAACTACTGTATGGTGGTGCTTAAAGCACTTTAGTGAGACTGGATATTTCCCTGTGGAATGGATCGATCTTATTTAAGGGCATAAAAATGTTGAATCTCAACAGACGTTTGTACACTGGCTAGTAGATCTTTTGTTCGCTGGAACGGCAGGAATATTTTCATGGCATTCATTTTCTCATGCAGAGTCAGTGGAAGATGAATATGATATCTTTTTGGTGTCCTTGTGCTTGCTGTTCAATATGCTGAAATATACAGGGCCCGGTTCAGTAATGCCTCAGTGTATGTCCATTTTTGAAAACCTGTCTTAAGCTTTGTATCGAGCTAAACTTACGGATTAATACAGAGAGACAGAATTCAGCAAATAAAAACTACAACTCAAATGTCGTTAAATTCAGATGGTTTCCAAATGAATAATGTATTCTAAATGTCAGCCATAGCTTCCTGCTTCGAATCATAGCTCTACCCTGAAATGAACTGTTTTTATAGTGATTTTTTTTTTTTTTTTCAATGAATAAAGTTGTTGTAATGGGCAATCTTTATGGAAAAGAGAACTAATCGAAATGGATCAATGAACATACTGACCTGTATTAGTGTGTAGTTTTTGGAGATATAATGTCTATCCAACCCTGATCTAATCGTTCTCTTAACAAATTACCACTTTTGAGTATTGAAATATGAACTTAATATTTACTGGATGATATTAGGTGTATATTTGGCAAATTTTCATTAATAAAATCTGCATTTAATACCAGGTTTTGTTGCTTGTGCTCATTTTATGTGTTGTTTTACATATTCAAACTTGGGATTTACACGTTCTGTTTTTTTATTTTTTTTTATTTTTTTATTTCAATCACTTAATATAAGTCACGTTCTGGAAGAAGAAAATCACTACGACATAGCATGTAATGCAATTTATTAATGATGTTTTCTAAGGCAAGGCAAATCTCATTTATTATTCATAAGAATCAGTGTTAAATTCTAATGTCTTAAACATTGCATTTAAAGGTGGACGTCATTATCCGTAATGGGTAGAAATCTGGTCTATTATTCATGTAATAAATACTGTGAGCTGTGAGAATCAAATTGCTTGTGTGCAAGACATATGATGAATACACACACACACACACATTCATCATTGTAACATGTATGGCAGACTAGTGCTGAACCGCTTGTCTCTCCTCATCTGCACCTTGCCAGATGGACCCGAGTGTCATTTAAATATTCATGAGTGACTGATGTGAAGTTGAATATGTAATCGCACAGGGATCGAGATGTCTTTTGGCACGTCATGTCATATTACGTCTTTGCAAGCCTCCTACTGTACTCTGTATTTGACCTGAACTAGCTTACTGTACTGTACAAACTGAGACCCCCTTAGCCTTTCTATAGCCTTGTCTTGATCATTTTTGTATCACAGACGTCATTAAAAATAAACTAAAAATGTGATTAAGACTATAATGTAAATAAACTGCCTTACTCACCCACAAAAGTAACTTGAAATAAATGTTAAAGGCACAGTATGTAAGTTTTGCCACTGAAGAATGCATATTCAAAACAATTACAAAGGCGTAGCTTGATGATACTCTGAATGAACATGGAATCATGGCAGTAAATGAATAAAAATAGCCAATGGCATCATTTATAATTTTCAACTTGATGCTCTAAAATAGCCAAAATTAAAACTGAAATATAAATGAATAAAAACAGACACTCTTGAAATAAATAGCCCAATAGTTCAAATCGATAATCAAAGTTAATGCATTTTTCATTTTGTTGTTTTTTGACATTTACTTGACTGAGTAAACCATATTAGAAAATGCTGTCATATTTCTGAAGAGATGGCTATTTACATTATTCTTCAATGAAGAATAAAAAGTCCACAATGACAATTTCAGAATTTCTATACAAACCTGTGGAATTCTTGAGCTCACACTTTCCAAACCTAACATTAAACTGGCGGTCAATGAAATGGAATATTTAATCATATTTTTAATAATAGCTGCTTGATAAAATATTTCCTAAATATATATTTCCTAAATATTCAATGTTTTTTTGCAGACTTCCTGTACAGAAATTAACATTCCAAAATAAACCTACCTTGAGAAATATTGAATATGTAGAGTAAAGGAAAAACAGAACTCTTATGATCATAGATATCACAATGTCCTCTTGGTGGAGCCAAAAACCTTCACAATGTGAAGTTGTGAATAAACAATGTATTTTGGGCCACCCAAATGCTGTATACAGTCTTAATGAACATTGTCGCAAGTAAACATGGCCTCAGATTCCCCAGAAGAATGAATATTTTAGCAGTAGATTTGTCTCTTGGAAAACATAATGAGCAATTAAGAGAATTCATCCTTCCATGGGGTCCTGTCCTGGCGTGAATGAGGTATGTGGAACGGGAACTCGGGAGGGGGATGTTGGAACGTCTCGTAATATCTGAGCTTCATAATTTACTCACTGTGCCCCTGGAGCCAAAAGAGTGACGTCCTACAAATACGACTGCCAGTAAACTGACAGCTCAGATGTAATGATTCTGGGTGATTGAATTTTGGGATCCAAAACTGTGGAGACCGTCTGCCGCATCTCTCCCCAGTATATCGCAGGGAAAAGTGTGCAGGCTTTTCAGACCTCACTTGATTATGGAGTAGGATTATTAGGAACACCATACTAATACTGTGTTTGACCGCTTTTTGCCCTCAGAACTGCCTTAATTCTAGGTGGCATTGATTCAACAATGTGCTCAAAGCATTCTTTAGAAATGTTGGCCCATATTGATAGGATAGCATCTTGCAGCTGATGGAGATTTGTGGGATGCACATCCAGGGCACGAAGCTCCTGTTCCACCACATCCCAAAAATGCTCTATTGGGTTGAGCTCTGATGATTGTAGGGGGCCATTTTAGTACAGTGAACTTATTGTCATGTTCAAGAAACCAATTTGAAATGATTTGAGTACATTATCCTTCTGCAAGTCATCAGAGGATAGATAAATAAAGGGATGGACATGGTCAGAAACAATGCTCAGGTAGACCGTGGCATTTAAACGATGCCAAGTTAGCACTAAGGGGCCTAAAGTGTGCCAAGAAAACATCCCCCACACCATTACACCACCACCACCAGCCTGCACAGTGGTAACAAGGCATGATGGATCCAAGTTCTCATTCTGTTTACGCCAAATTCTGACTCTACCATCTGAATGTCTCAACAGAAATTGAGACTCATTAGAGCAGGCAACATTATTCCAGTCTTCAACTGTCCAATTTTGGTGAGCTCTTGCAAATTGTAGCCTCTTTTTCCTATTTGTAGTTCAGATGAGTGGTACACAGTGGGGTCATCTGCTTTTGTAGCCCATCCGCCTCAAGATTGTGCGTGTTGTGGCTTCACAAATGCTTTGCTGCATACCTTGGTGGTAACGAGTAGTTATTTCACTTCAGTTTCTCCTCTGACCTCTAGCATCAAAGGCCTTTTCGCCCACAGGACTGCCGCATACTGGATGTTTTTCCTTTTTCACACCATTCTTTGTAAACACTAAAAATCCCAGGAACTGAGCAAATTGTGAAAATTGTGAAATATGGCCCGTCTGGCACCAACAACCATGCCACACTTAAAATTGCCAAAAGGGTACATATCATGCTTTTAAATCATTCATTTTTACTTATAAATCATACATTTGTGGTATATATAAAGCATAACTGCAATGCTTGGGTCTGAATTCCTCATTTTTATAGCTCCACAGGCCCCATTTCTACCCCTTTTCTGATGTGCTTCTGTGAGCAAGTCGTTTCGAAGCGGCCCCTTTAAATAAAAAGGAGTTGCGTCTTTCCCCGCCCGCTCTCCAGGTCGCTGAGTTCACGGTCGGTTCAACTCCCCGCGTTCGGCCATTATTGTAGTTTGATAAGAGATATACGATTACTATTCACACGTTAACAAAATGTCAACAACGGAAGACTTGTCCATCAAGCCTTACATATTCGAGCCAGAGCGAGCGACTTGAAAAAGACGACGACGAACCTGCAGAACAACGTCTTCATATGGATGCAGTGGTATGTAAGTCAACTATGTTGTGTTATTAGTGAAATTCGACTATTTCTCTTGTTAAAACAAGCACACTGACAAGATGGTCTAATCTTACCACTAAAAATCTGTATTGATAATAATATGATAACTTAAGTTTAGAAAGCGTCAGAAAACACAGCAGCTAATCATTCAGACGAAGTCGATCGGCAAACCCTTCTTTATACTGGCGGAGGTTGTTGAAGTGGATCCTTGAAGTGCTTCAGGTCACTACATACAACAACCGAACATTTTGACTAGCCCTCTCGTAACTTCTGCATCATTGAGCTTGGACTACAAAATCGGAGCGAGAAATAATAATGACGGATTGCTCGGAAGTGTTGGACCGGTAGTCAATGTCCTTATTTGTCAGTTCCGCTGCAAATACTGTGAAGTAATTGTTCAGAAACGTAATAGAGAACAGAAAAATCTGAACAGGTTGAAAAATATGACCAAAACAGAATATAAAGATATAAACGAAGCACCTGAAAAGAATAAATTAATCTTTTCTGTACTTATAAACACTCCAAATATACAACAAAATGCATTTAAGGGCTAAAAAAGTGGATTTTGGATGATATGTGCCCTTTAAATCACCTTTCTTTCCCATTCTGACATTCAGTTTGGACCACACCCCTAAATGCATTGAAGCAACTGCCATGTGATTGGTTGATTAGATAATTGCATTAATGAGAAATTGAACAGGTGTTACTAAAAATCCTTTAGGTGAGTGTATTTTAGTATGGCTAGAGTGCTGTATTGATCCATTAGTTCTCTCTGGAAAATAAGCCTAATAAAAACCCTCACAGAACGCTGAGTTTTATTAGGGATGCTGCCATTACCACATGCACGCACTAAAAACATGACTCAAGCATACTGTCCAAACTGTAAAATCTTCATCAGAAACACAATACAAGACCCTGATGCTTATGTGAAAATTGGTATGAACTGCAATAACAGTCGGTAGTTAAAAAACAAAGGATTCGTGGGTTGATATGAAGGGATGTTTGCATGGTGATGAGTTTTTGGCAAGCCTGTTGTTCCTGCTACAATAAACTGTCACAGAGTAAGTATCCTCTGCATTACTTAAAGTTTAAGCCATTGTGGTGGCTCTGAACCAAACTATTATACATAATTAATTACCCCTCAGATTTCTCTTGGAAAAGTTCAAGAGGACATGCTTAAAGATGTCCTAGATAATTATTGTGTAACAAGGCATAGTGACATTATGTCCAAACTTTGCTTAAACAACTTTGGGAAAGAATTACCTTGAGGGAATACTTTTCAACATTGTCTTCCTTGGAAAGTTGGCAGAGAAAATTTTCAGAAAGGATCTGTTTTATTTACTAAACATACAAAATCTAAAGCCTGCAAGGCTTTACTGATAACCACCAGAGAGGCTGAGTTCTGCTGACTGCCTCCAAGGCCATCTAAATACTCTGAATGTGAAAGCTTGCGTTATTTATGGCACTGTTAAGACTCCTATAGTCGCAATCGAAATAGCACACACACATTCAGTTGCCCATTTACAGCAAAATATAACACTTATGCAGGCACTGCACATCAGAAAGAAAAAAAAAACAAAATAATGAAAAATTCCCCAACAATCGCATGTTTCCTCTAGTCTCTGAACAGATCTCAAGTGTCTCAAACTGTGCTCAGACTTCAAAATCTAAAATCAAAAGTCATACTC